AGCAGAGCCCAGAGACAGTTCAGCTCTTTCCTGCTTTATTCTAATATTATTCCAATATTCTAAATTCTATTCTATTATTCTATTATTCTATTATTCTAAAATTGACTTTATTATTCTAAATCACTGGACCTGAAAACTTGACCTTTACAGCTCCAAACCCTCTTGTGGACTCTTCTCTACTTTCTTTTGATGAATTCTTTCATCACGCCCAAGACATCTCAGAGCCAATGTCATGTTCCAAGCATGTTTGAGTGGCCTGGGATCAGAACTGCTGCAGTGCAGGAAAGGGAGAATGGCACATGGATTATTTGGATTCCTTTGGATATTTAAAACAGTATTGGAGCTCACTAAAGTGTTGCAATGAGGCAAAAGCCTCTTCTAATAACTTTTTCTGAGAAAAAAAAAAGAGTCTACATATACACTTCTGAGGCAATAAAAGCCCTTTTCTCCCCCACCCTTCAAAACTTTTGGACAAGAAGAGTTTTTGAAGTGAGTTTGCATAAACTCAAGGTCTCTGTGGCTGGGGCTCCAGCAGTTGTCACTGTGGGATTTTCCTTTTACCAGAATTCTGTGGGTGGGATCTGGTAGGAATTTGAGACATTTATGGAGCAAGTTTTAAGCTCCTGCACCCCAAAGAGGGAAGAAGTTGTGATAAATAGATAATAAATAGATGATAGAAGTCTGAGTTAATCTTGCAGCAGAAGAGTGAGCAGAAACAGCTGCATATTGTTTGTGAAAGTGCTTTCATTTTGGTGAAAGGACAGCTTCTTATAGAGAGAAGTTAATTTGAATATAAGGGCCTTCGAAATGATGCACATCCATATTCTGTGTCCATAGATCTGCTACATTCTGACTGACATGGTATTTCAGAAAAAAACCCCACTTTTTGGATGCTTTTCATCTATATTTAGGATGCCATCCTCAGTCCAACCATGTATCAGCCACACGCTTTCATTTAGGTCCTTCTCCTTGTGCCTTTTATTCCTTGTCCCTCCAACAGCAAGAACATCCAAGAACAGCTTGACTGAAGTGTCAGACATTAAAGAGACAGGTGGAAAAAAGTGATCAAAAACTACTCTTTATATTTTAGGTAATTAAATGAAAGTGCTAAATTGAGGCTTTAAAATATAAGAGAAAAAAAAAGAGGGCTTCATGAATCCTGATGATAACTTTTTATGACTTACATCTTTTCCTATCAACAAAGTTTTTGAAGTCTCATTTCAAGGTTTTTGTAGCAAAGCTGATTGTGATTATAAACTTGTGAGACAGGAGCTCAGCTTTCCTGATTTCTTGAGAGGAAGACTGCTTAGAAGAGGTGGAAATCACATTTCTATTCACAGAGCTAGGGTGTAGCCTGAAAAAAACCTGAAGTGAACTGGAGGCACAACTGAAACACAGATTCTTCCTCAATATGCCTATATCTACTTATCTATTTATCTACTTATCTATTTATCTATTTATCTATGTACCTATGTATCTATGTATCTATGTTTCTGTTTGTCTATTTATCTATTTAAAACAAGAATGCACATAAGGATTTATATACAATAGATCATTTCTTGTTCTTATGTCCAACAGAATCTTAAATATCTTCCTAGATAATTATTTTTCGCTGTGCAGTTGCTGGTACTTAACAGATAGTAGAGGAAAAGACCTCACTTCTTTATCAGTTTTTTACCCTCTCCTTTACCTGCTGGTTCTTAGGATTATTAAGTTTATCTGGGGAGTTGGAGTAGTAAAATTGATTATTTTAGCTGAGTAAAGTTGCCTGTCTTCTAACACTTGGACTGTGGAAAGTAGCTTGAGGATAATCTCACCACTTAAGTACAGTAATATTATATAAAACATTAGATAGTGTAATACAGAATGTATTATTTAATAATGCCAACTTGTAACAATGAGAGGAATTCTTCACTCAACGCTTTTCCCTCAGTTATTGCCTTAGAAATAACTCAGAGTCTAAAAAGGACACTACTTTTAGGGAATATATGAATTTCAGTGGACAAAGTGCAAGGATTTTGTTTATCCAGATTCCATCCATATCTGTGCCTTGGGATGGGCCCTGCAGTGACTGCTCAGTTCTTTGTGTCTTCTCTACCTTCTTATTTCATCATTTTTGTCACTGTGGTGGACTAAAATCAATTTCATGGCAGGGAATTTCCTCAGACTAAGGAAATGTACCCGTAAGAAAAGCAGCTCCTCATGATCACAAAAATCTCTGACCCACAAGGTGATGATACAGTTTATTTCCAGGTATTAATTAGTGTAGCTAATTCCAGAAGGAAATCTCCCAGGTTTGGGAATGATGCTGCTAATGCCTAACTCTCTGCCCTTATTGCATATAAACACTTTGGTGTTGTAGAAACCCTGACACTTTTCTCCTGACTGGATAAACACATATATCAAAGGATAAACTAAAGATGTTCTGTGTTTTACCCAGTTAAAATGATCTCCTACTGATTTACAAATGATTGGGAGGAAAGAAGGAGTAAACATATTCTTAACACATTTCTAAGTTAGAGTGCCCAAGGACTGAGCATTGTCCTCACGTCCCTCAAATTCATTTCCTTTCAGTTCAGTCACCTGAGACAACCTACAGCTGCAAAGTGAGGAGAAAAAAATGACATTTTATCGAAGTTGAGCCCACAGAAAAGCTACATCCTCCCACTGAAAAACTGAAGTCTGTATTTTTAGTGCAGAACGAATCCGAGGCATTCGGAATTACTGGCACTGAAATATGAAATCTGTGCCTATGTATTCCATAGATGCAAATTCCTCATAAGGAAGCAATAACAGCTAAAATGACATTATTACTGAACCAGAGGCTGTTCTCACTCACACAGAGAGGCCAAACCAGGCGTGGAACACTTGAAACCATGTCCTGAAAAGAAGTGCAGAGTCGGAGGAATCCTGAGCCCCCTGAACCACGAGCGAGGAGAGGGAGATGCCCAGGAATGCTCCAGCAGGAAGTGCTTGTGGTTTAAAACAGGAGCAACCACATGAATCAGAGGTTTGAGGAGACAGCTAGACGACACTGATGGCAAAAAAATATTAATGCACAGAAAATAAAAATCTAAAGGAATCCAAGAAGAATTAAAAGGAGCCAAAAGATCTCAGTGCGTTTGAATCTGGTTTCAGGAGAACAGAAGGGTAAAACCCAAATAGCTGAAAGTCTAGACAATTAAACTTTCTTCCTGTTAAAATAAAATTCTCAGTTGGTCCCCCTTTGCCATCTGGAAGCTTTCTCTTAAACAAACGAATGAAACACAGACATCACAAAAATGCTTCTCATTTTCATCTCCACAGCCACTAGGAGATCTCTTCATGACAAACCCCAGCACGTTACACTTTCAGCCTTGCACAACTCCACAGAGACCCCTGGAGCTATCAGGGATTATCTGTAACCTTCCTCTCATGTGCTAACAAGTAGAATTTCATAAAAATATGGAAGTGCACAATGTTTCAACATTAAACACGTGGGGAAAGCAGTTTTAATTATCCCACGCTGAGTAGGCAGGAAAAGATTTCCTGCACATAAACTGTGTTATGGTACTGGGAAAATAATGTTGTTTTCTCAGCCCTTTCCTCCAGAATTGAACAGACTCTTTAATGAGAAATCCTTTTTTACTTTTTAGGAAGTAATGATGCAAAGGAGAGCATCTCAAAACCAAACAACACCATCCTAATTTGTCCCTGCCAGCAGCGTAGAGCTCGCACAATCCACAACACTTTTCCCTGGAAGGAGATCAGAGCGCTGCAGACACACAGTTAATTTGTGGGATTGCTCACATCTGCAGATGATTAAAGAGATGCTGCCACTTTCCACGTGAAATAAGGAGCTTGCTGCTCATATTTAAAAGAACTCTTTCCTCCCAAGGAATCTGGAATGCTCCTCAAGAAGGGTTTAATGGCTCAGGAGGAGGGAGCATCCTGCTGGAGCTTGGAAGCTGCAGGCAGCTGCAACACGTGGATTATTCCATCCAGTTTTCTCTGCTCATTAGTTGGGAAACGGGAATTTTTCCAGGGTTAGGTGGGACACACCTCTACCTGGTTGTGTTTCCTATTCCTTTTATTTAGCTATGATGTTAAATACGATAAAAATGAGGTCAATCTAGTAAAAAAATGGAGTTTTTGAGGAGAACATGTGATTTTGATGTCACAAAACTTTGCTCTGCTCTGGCTTTGCCAGTCTCTCTCCACAAGCACAGACTGTTCTAACCCAGGAGCAGTGGCCATCCAGAATGAAGCAAAAGCCACTCTCACTAATTTTGGGGGATAAAATCCCCAGAGGAATTTTGGCCATGCCCATGTTCTTAGAACCCACTGTGCCAAAGTGTCATGGCATATTTTAAACATCACATACAAGAGAGATGCCACAAAGAAAGAGAGAGGGAAAGAATCCATTTCTTCTTTCATAAAATCTCCTACTCTCCTTGATTAAAGAGCAGGAAATAAATGAAGTACATCCAAACAGGAAGTAATTGATTTCTACACAACTAATGGCGTGCTCTGTCAAGCCTCAGAAAAGTGAATACAAGATTATTCTAATTTCATGCATGAAATCAGTGCTTTAATCTTGCCTGGCACAGGCTTCCAGGGGCTTACTTCAAGTCTATTTATTTGATCAACAATTCTGTCATCAACAGAAGTATCCCTTTCCTCTGCTCACTGATTATAATGATGGGTATTTTGTCATATTTTATTGGATTCAAGTCTTCCAGAGATTTTGATGGACTTTTTTTGTCAAAACTGAGTGGTAACATCAATCAGGTTTCCAGATTCTTGGGAATTTGGGTTTACATCACAGACAGCCCACTTCCTTTTGTTTTCAGGAGCTCAGTTGGTGTTCTAACGGTAAAATCTTTAAAACCTACTTGTTAGCATTGTCAAAACAATGCTAAAATCTATCAATATAATTTTCATTTTTGCTTGTAAAATTTGGCATCTTCTCATTTGCATTTAAATATCTTTCTTTCTCTCTCTCTCTCTCTCTCTTCCAGTGATCAGAGCAAAAATATCCAGTGAAAAGGTGGTTCCTGCCAGCGATGATCCCCTTGATACCCACAAAATGATCCGGTATGAAATCAAACAAATAAAGGTACATGGAATCACTCAGCTTTTTTGAAGTTTAATGCTGATAACCTCTGCATATTTCAGCCCAAAATAACTTAGCCCAAAATTCTGGGAAAGCTGGAAAAGGCTCCAGCTGCCCCCACAGTTAGACCCAGATGAACTACACAGAATAAATCAAAAGAGGGATTAAAAAAGGGAAATAAAAAACGGAAAGGAAAGAAAAGTGTCCTGACATTCAGGAGGTTTTTGCTAAATAATGATATTTTGATGAAGAATTTTGTTACTCCTAGTTTTGAAGGCACCACAAAATGTGCTTCATTCTGTGAGTGGTGTCAGTACATCTGGTTTTGGAGGATTCCTGATCACCTGTGCTCTGATTGTGTGGCTGCTCTGCATGGTCCAAACTTTCCAAACAGAGGGGAGCATTTCCAGCTTAGAGAGAAAACCCTTAGTTCATTGTGAACAGGGATATTTGCAGGGCCAGGTCCTTCCCTCATATTCACATCAACAAAAATCCATTTGTGTGAGTGTTGCTGGGGAAGCAAACACCCAGAGACAGAGATTCAGAATCTCACAGGATTTTCCCACTCTTTGTTCAGCTCCAATAAGGAGATAATATTCATTAATACAATTTAAGAACACATGTTCTGAGCCCATTGAAGTCACACTCAAACTCTAACTGATGTTAAAATGATCAAGATTTACCTTTTTTCTGGAATATACAAGAAGCAGGGAATCTCTCTAAATTAAAATTAAAATGAAAAAATGAAAAAATGTGTGAGTGTGCACAGGTGAGGTGGGTTGGTCAGATGGTTTTAAAGTAGTTTCATCTCTCACTTTTCACTGAATATTATTTTATAATTTTTTTCACTTTCACATTTACTGGGAATGTTTAAGAGGATCCTTATGGGTGGCTACATACTTTCAAAAAAAATTCAACCATTCAAGTTGTGTCCACTGATCCAATCCCCTCGCAGGAGTTTATGTAGGAAGAATCTTTGGTAAACAAGAATATCTCAAAGTACTCACAAGGATGGTTATCACACATGACTTCTGTGAAGGTTTGATAGCAATTTCAACAAGCCAGTCTCTACCTTGTTAAACAAACCCCAAAGCTCGTCACCATCTGCCACTTCCTGTCTCCTTAAATATTAAGGATATATCCAAATGTTTCTTTACAGAAATAAGTACATCAATGTCAGAGAATTCCCTTTCCTCCCACTGGCACTTGAATGTGCTGCTGCTACTCTGCAGCACTTCAGGAATTTGAGAGAAATACAAATCATCTTATACCTCAGCACAAACAAGAAGAAGAAGAAGTCTAATCTGAGTGATTGTTTTCAGCCTATAATCCCATTCTTTAGCACACTGAAATCTCTGAAATATATTTCAGTATTGAAGCTGCTTTGGAGTTTCTCCCTAATTTTGACCAGTGGAAACCTGTTCAAAACTCAGGCAGCATGAAAAGGCGTTTATTTCATTCCACTCAGGTTCAGAGGGTGGGTCAGCCAGGCCTGGACAAAGCAGAGATGTGTCTTTTAATAAAAGGTGCTCTACATGGTCACACTCAAGCTTAGACTAACAACAGAAGGGTTGTGATAACCTCCACCCCTCAAATCCTTCCTTCTCACCGAGAGAGTTCAGGACCAAACCTTCCCCTGCCCCAGGACCCAGCTCCCTGCTCCAGGGAGGGAGGGATTTGGGGAAGGGAAGGGTTTTGGTTGGAAAACAGGAGCTCTGTGAGCTGCCCATCCTCTGTGGGGTCATCTGTGCACCCAGTGTGGCACCACAGCAAACCCAGCAAGGCAGCTGTGCCTGATGGACCCACAGAGAGGGGTGACCTGTGACACCCCAAAATATAACTGAGGCAAAAATGACATGCTGAACAATTACTCAGTTTGCTGAGTAGCTCAGGATGGAGCTTGGTCACACCATGTCTCAGCTCAGCTGACAGCATTTTAAAGAGTTTAACTCCACAGTGCGTGTGAACGGCGAGAATATTCTCTGCTCACCGCTCCCATCTTCTCTGGAGTGCTGGTGATGGTTTCTCCTGATGCCTGCAGTCCCACAAACTGCAGGGTCCTTGGGTACCACAGGGCTCTGGGTAATCCAGAGCAGGAGCAGGCACAGGCTGAGGGAAAGGCTGGGAATTTGCTGTCTAACACAGCAAGGAAGAACAGACCCTCCAATCATCTCTTCTGAGCTACAAAATGAGCAAAAAATTATCACAAAAATTCACAAAAGTTATCACCTCAGTGTGGGTTTTGGGGAGGGCTTTTAGACCACTCAGATATTCACACTTTCCTCATCAATTTTCCCCTCTTGGAAAGGGAACACAGAGCCCTTGGAGGTGATATTGTAACATTCAGCACAACGCTGCTGTTTCTCTGTTCTATTGCTCTCAGGGTTGTTGAGCTGCTCCATTAACGTCATGGCTTAAATTCTGTTTCTCTCATTTTAAATCCAGTGCATTAGGCTTAGCATTAAAATGTTGCTATTCTGGACAGAAATATTAGATACTGTTTTGATGTTCATTTTCAGAAAGAAAAAAAATGACAGTGGGGCTATTAATTTTATAGGGATGGGTTGGCATGTCAAGAAGCCATAAATGTTTTCAATTATTGTTCTTTTCTTGCAATATTTACAGCATTATATTGAGGAGAGAAGATAGTATGTGATTTATGTGCAATTGAGTATTTCTTCATAATATTTTTGTAACTGTCTTGGTCATCACACTCATTCTAAAATCTTAAAGCCAAGCCATGTGCTGGTGCTGGTTCTGCCCCTCAGGAGGACAGGGACAGTGCCCATACAGATTTTTGTAGCAGGTTCACTTCTCTCTATCCCCAAAACCTCACTCTATTTTCCTATTTCAATAAAGTGCTGCCAGGAGCTCAGGTGAACACCGACCATGCATCAATGCAGAACCAAATCCAACCACCTTACCCCTCTACAGAGAAATATCCATGCTTTCAGGAGAAGGGAGAGTATGACTGAGAAGATTAAATATGATTTTCTGAGTTAAGCACAAGATTATCATCTTTAGTAATGACTGTAGCAACTATATAGGTCAAAACTACAGATAAATCAGACAGTTATTTTAAAAAAACCCAACCAAGAACCAAAAAAACCTGCAACAAAACAAACACTAACCTCATGTAAATATTAACTGAATCTCCATTATGCATTGCTGTGGGTATTGAGGGGTTTTATAGCTAAATCAAGGTGTGCTGTCTGCACAAAGCCTCCAAAGTTGAGACCAAAGGCTGAGATATCCATGGAGAAGCTGTTCCCTACAACACCCTGAAGGTTTCTGAACGTGGGGAGACCTTGAGGCAAAGGCCACTTGCAGAGCTCACGTGGTGGCCCCATACCAGACACATTTTCCTCATCATTCTGGAGATGTTCTGGGATTCCCACTGCTGCTTTGGACAGGGTGCCAGTTTGTTTTGTGTTTTGCTCTGCCTGGGCCTGTTTGTTTTTTTTTCTCCAAAGCATTTCAAATCCCAGCTAATATTTTTGGATCGGCCACGCGGTGACAACAACGTTGGCTTTCTTCCCCCCTCCGTAAATAAGGCTTCAGAAAAACCAACATATTACAGAGTATTTTCTAGTGGCCTGTGCTATTTAAATCTCCTGGGAGGGCTTGAGGAACACAAACACATTTTCCAGGGACGCCAGCTGCAACTGGGAGAGCTGTGAGCCCCTGCCATTGTCCCCAGCTGTCAACACGTGGCATGATGTCACCGGGCTGGTGGTGGCACACGAGGTGATGACAGGCACTCGGCAGCACCTCCTGCTCCCTCCTTGTAGCTGTGCTTGCACACAGCTAAGCTTGTTCTCGTCTTTTCATGGCTCATCTTCCATTTCTTTTCGGGGTTGAAGCTGCTGGTTAAGGGTGTTGGAGTCTGAGACACAAAGTGTGTGCGCTTGTTTCTAATAGTTAACTCTAAGATCCAGAAAAATGCTGAATTTCATATAACATGAAATTTATGAGTGTGTTTTCATGGTGAAAACATGAAAACAACTGTTAAAGTTAGAAAAGCTAAAAGTGTGAGTGTGTAGATTGGAGTTTCTTAAGTCACTGGGTGAAAAAGTTAGAGTTTAAAAATAGTTTAGAAAGCAGAAGACAAGATGAAGGATTTAAGAATGTTGTTTCTTTTCCTTCTTCTTTCTTCTTCATATTCTTCTCTTAGAGATTTTTGGGTAATTGTAAGTGATTAGACAAAAAATGAATGCCGCAGTGCAACCCATTTTGTGCTTTCAAAACCAAAGTGAGCCACAAAGTGAGTCACAAGGGCATTTTGTACCATCAGAGCAAAATGAACCAGATTGCAGTGATTTGAACTTGTGCAAATAGTCTGGAGAGACCTGCCAAGTTTTGTAATAACATTCTAATAAACACGAGAAACAAGATTCTAACGAGCTCGGGAGTTTTCTTCAAATCCCACGAGGGAAGATCCTAAAGGAGCTCAGCCCAAAGGAGACTGAGAGATCCACGAGTAAAGAAAATACAGAAGTGCAGCAGAATCAGAGAAAGAAAAAAAAAATAAATTTTTTTTTGAAAATGTTGCAAAGGGGCAGCCAGTCTGAAAAGTGCTTTGATCCCAAATCTCTCCATTTTGGGGCTTGCAGGGTTTAAATCCCAAGGGCTGGGTCACATTTTCCAACAGTTCTTTGAGAAGGTCCCACTGGTGAGAATTTTGGCTATGGAAAAGCACTTCAAGTATGAAACCAATGCTCAGGAAATGCTCAGCAGGCTTGGTGTCCCAGGAGATCCCAACAACAACAGTGATCATGAGAAAATTCCCCAGAGGAATACACTGAGAAATATTTGCATTTTGGTCGAGGTGAATGCTTGTCTCTGCATTGCTCCTTGAATGGAAGATGCCAGTAGAATATCAATTGAAGAGAAAGTTTTAAGAATCCATTAAATACACCAAAAAAGCATATTTTAAAAGCTATAATTTTAAAAAAAATTAAGACCTACTTAATTTTCTCCTAAAACTCTTGGATGTATTTCATTAAGCGTAGAGAAAAAGTCCAGTTTTTGGTGTTTTCTCACATTAATTCAGACTTTGGGGCCTTCTCTAAAGAGACTCACCCTGTATCTCTTCCAGCTCTTGTTTAGAACTGTTTTTTCATGCTTGTTTTCCACTACTGACTCTCTGTTTCTGATCATTTTCAGATGTTTAAAGGATTTGAAAAGCTCAAGGATGTCCAATACGTCTACACCCCTTTTGATTCATCACTCTGTGGAGTGAAGCTAGAAGCCAACAACAAAAAACAGTATCTTCTAACAGGTAAAATGCAGCAAAATTAATGTTCCTGGAAATTCAGAAGTAGCTGCTTACAGTGAATTTGCTAAAATATGCTAAAAAGGAATGCATTTATGTGCTAAATACAAACACAAAGGGATGTAAAAACCTGTGTTCTGCTGTAGTTATGGTGTGATCTTACATGTTTTCCACCCTTCCTCCAGCACTCTTAGAGCACTTCCAAAGGAAGTGAAGGTCAATAATGATATAATCAGTAAATAGAAGGAATTTTGATTCAGTATTTGCTGTTATTATTTGATTAAAACCAACAGTGCTGATTTTCTCAGGAATGCAGAGGTGCATAATGAGAAAACACATGCCTGTCTGTCTGCATGTCTGGGGTTCCAAGTAACTGCAGATTTTTCTAGACAATCCTAAAAATCCTCTTTAACTGCATTTGTATCCACCCCTTGCTGGCAGATTTTCAACATCTTTAGAAAAATATCCTTCTTCAACCTTTTACATCCACACAGCTTGCAATTCGGAGAATATTCTCTGTTAAAATAAATTAAAAAATTTTGAAGTATTATCAATTTGGTGCAATTGGTTAAAAACTCAAGGTATTCTTAACACTTCTGATATTTAGAAAACACTTCTATTGCTTTGACTTTTTGCGTTTTCCATGCTGCAGGCCAAATTTTAAGTGATGGCAAAGTGCTGATCCACTTGTGCAACTACATTGAGCCGTGGGATGATTTATCCTTGTCTCAGAAGAAGAGCCTGAACCAGAGGTACCAGATGGGCTGTGGCTGCAAGGTGAGTGCAGAGCAGATAAATGTAAATAAACACCATTTATTGTATTTTTGGGAATAAACCCCAGTTCAGAGGAAGCTGCAAGGTGAGTGCAGAGCAGATAAATGCAAATAAACACCATTCATTGTAGTGTTGAGAATAAACCCCAGTTCAGAGGAATCTTCAAGGTGAGTGCAGGGTGGATAAATTCAAATAAACAACGTTTATTGTATTTTTGAGAATAAACCCCAGTTCAGAGGAAGCTGCTAGGTGAATGCAGAGCAGATAAATGCAAATAAACACCGTTTATTGTATTTTTGAGAATAACCCCCAGTTCAGAGGAAGCTGCTAGGTGAGTGCAGGGTGGATAAATGCAAATAAACACCGTTTATTGTATTTTTGAGAATAACCCCCAGTTCAGAGGAAGCTGCTAGGTGAGTGCAGGGTGGATAAATGCAAATAAACACCGTTTATTGTATTTTTGAGAATAAACCCCAGTTCAGAGGAAGCTGCAAGGTGAGTGCAGGTCAGATAAATGTGAATAAACACCGTTTATTGTGTTGAGAATAAACCCCAGTTCAGAGGAAGCTTCAAGATGAGTGCAGGGTGGATAAATTCAAATAAACACCGTTTATTGTATTTTTGAGAATAAACCCCAGTTCAGAGGAAGCTGCTAGGTGAGTGCAGGGTGGATAAATGCAAATAAACACCGTTTATTGTATTTTTGGGAATACCCCCCAGCCTGTAGTGGCTGCAGGGTACTGAAGGAGCTCTTTGCCCCCAGATCACCACGTGCTACATGGTGCCCTGTTCCATCACGGCCCCCAACGAGTGCCTGTGGACAGACTGGCTGATCGAGAGGAGGCTCTATGGGCACCAGGCCCGCCACTACGCCTGCATCAAGAGGAGTGATGGCACCTGCAGCTGGTACCGAGGGGGGCCTCCCCCCGAGAAGGAATTCATCGACATCAGCGAGCCCTGAAGCGCTCTCCGGCCCTGCAAACGCGACCCTGGGGGGCTCATTCCGCCCAGCGGCTCTGAGCTGCCGTGGTCTCGCCTATCTTGCTTAGAAACAAACACCAGTTGTCCCCAAAGAGTCGGGGGGTTGGCGCTGGTGCAGGACGAGGGACAAACCTCCTGCTCTGCTCTGCTGTGCTTTGCACAGAGGGCTGGCACTGTCCTCCAAGTTCCCTTTTTGCCAATATGAATGTACGAGAACAAAAGAGTTGCCAGAATTTTGCCCCACCCCCCCAAAATTTGATAACCTGCAGATTAAGAGCTCCCCGTGTTTTATTCCAAATCTTTCCGATGAACTGCGGAATGTTTTATAGAACTGTTTCTTGGGGTTTTTTTCTGTATGAAAGTCTTGGATACGAAAGAATTATTGTACAGTGTATATGTAAAGTATTATAACAATGTGCTATTAAAAAAAAAAAAAGGATTCATAAATATCTCCTTATCTGTCAAAACGAGTTGAACACTTCTGTGATTAAAACAATCTGTGCTCCACATTTTGTATGCTCCTTATGTCACAGCTTCCTTTACCCACAGAGTTGTAACTTCCATCGATAGATAAATTAAGAAACAGCTTTGATAATCAAAACCCCCTTCCCAAGTCAGCATTCCTATGGACTAACCAGAGCTTGCTGAAGGAAAAGCCAGATTTTTAAGCATTAATCCATGGATTTTAGCATTCCATGGAATAAGTTCCAAACTCAAATGATGACAGGCTCAAAGTGCTCAGAACTACAAAAACCATGTCCATCCTCAGGGCAGCTGCAGCCCTTAACACCTCCCTAAATACATGACCAGGTATTTGTACCCCAGCACTGTTCAAACTTTAGAAACTCATGTGAAAGTACATGCAATAAATATTGCCTAGCTTACACTGCAATGATTTCTGGAAGCTCCCAGATTTTTGACCCTGTATAAAAGGATTGAATTAGTTTTATTCACGAGCACCCACCATACTCTGTCAGTGAATTTGGCTACCTGTGAACTCAAACTAGAGAAGGGTTACAACACATTTTGCCTGTAACTTTTTTCGTGTCTTAACTTTCCCAAATTGGTGACTGGAGTTAGTAACTAATCCCTCACACACGTTTTTAAGTATATAAAAGTAACTCAATTCACAGTGGTGAAACTTTGGGAAGTGTAAATGCCAAAGTTCAGACTATTTGTGCCCCACAAGAAAGGGGGAGAGCCCTTGGGCAGGATGGGAATCTCCAGTAGCTGCCCTTTTTGACAGACTTTACTACCTACAGGATAGGATATGCTCTTCTGAGAAAAAAAGATTTCTTTTCTCTGCAATTAAGTTTATGCATTTCCAGTGAAATGCAAATGGTGCAAGGCCAACAGGAAAACATGTCACTATTACTTCGAGGAATATGTGTCCCGTAATAAATAAAAGCCAATGTTTCACTTTTGATCTACTGTAAATCAGTCTAGCTGACATCTAACAAGCCCAGCTTGTTTTCTGCTTTACTCAAATCAAAAATTTCCTAACACTAACGCTTTGGAGCATAGACTTACATAAATGAAACAAAAAGAATGAGAAACTACTTTTCTTCCAAAAAATAATTGATATTGCAGTGACGGTATTGGCAGAGCTATTTACTGACAGTGCTGTACATTTCTATTATGAATTTTCAGAAAGATTCGAAGCCAGGCCTTATTTCCTCATATCAGGTCAAACCAATTGCTAGAGAAGCCCACAGAGCTTAATAACCACAAAGGTTAATATTCAGTGGTTAATAAATATTCAGTACCAGTTCTGTAGCATTTGTCTCCAAATCCATTTTGATGGGATGGTGCCTTTTGGATAACACTCTGCAGCAAGCAGATGTTTTCTGCTTTTTAACTCACCAGAGCTCTGTTCCTATTTCAGTTTTAAAGTAATTAGACCTTAAACTCAGCTCACCCAGCCCAGATTGCCTTCTCTGTCCACTTTGCACAAAAAAACGCTTTCTCTGATATTTAGAAATAATAAATTATTATTTCTAACTATCTGTTCTGGACAGACTGTAGTGCAAATTAGTTTTAAAAACATTTTCTATTCGTCCTGCTATAAAATATCCCACACAAGATGCTTCACAATTAAGGTCTGTCTACTTTGATTTCTGGCTGAGCAGAAATCTGCCCAAACTTCCCACAAGGGATGGTACAAAGATTATATTTATTTCTTTTTTTCCTCATATCAATAAATGTGGCAACAAGAGCTTTACAAAACCCCAGCTCAGAATGAGATTTTATTTTCCCTGAGGAAGATTCTCAAAGGGCTTGACTACAACATGGCATTCTGAATATGTTATTTCAATATCAGCATTTTTACTGTAGTTCATTGATACCTTATCAACAGCAGATTATTTTCACAACATTTTCTTTTTACTTCTTGAAACCGTGCTTGTGTTACATGAGAGGGTAGAGCAGAAATACAGCCTGGCACAAATTTGACTTTAATTTGAAAATGGTTCACATGACTTTTGATAAGAGTAGGGAAAACAAGAGAAGAGGGAGACTGTATAGGTGAACAGGGGGAAAAAAAATCCACCACCTGGAATATTGCTGGTGTTTCCTCAACATTCCAGTTAAGTTTTAATTAAATTGTTCAGCAATTACGTTGAAAAAGTCCTGTTGTTTTTGCAAAGAACAGAAGAGGTGGGAATGCAGTGAAATAAAGGGAACTAATTACTGAGGGAAAGGCTGTAGATATGACTCAACCAGCAATGAGTTCAAAAGCCTCACAGTGTTTTTTGTAATCAGTCTGGGATGAATGTTTCTGTTTCAAAAAGTGTTTCATTAAAGCAGCTCCATTTTTACACAAAAGAATGGCATCTTTGTTTATTTACCTTGTATTGCCTAAAGCCTCGGCACAAATGATCAGCAGAGGGTGAAAGGAGCACCTCTGGCACGCTCAGCTGACCCTCAGTTCCCAGAGATTTGGGGCTTTTTCCCTCTCCCCATGTCCCCCCTGAGCTGGTTTGCACTGGACGGGGGACAGCTCCAGGAGAATAAAAAGGGAAGGAGAAAAAGCAAGAGGAACACCAAAAACATATTTTAAACCGTAATTGCCAAATTCTGCATCAACAAATGCAAACGAGGCCAGCTGTTGATAAAGTGCTGAAAACCCAAAACAAAATAAAATTATATGATTTCAGTGCAGCATCAGAAGACTCTGATTTCCAGATCATCTTACAACCCACTTTCAACAAAATTCAAACTAAATGTTGTCTTGTACCACATTGCCTGATTATTTCCCAAGCCACAAAGTTCCAGACACTTTCTTCAGGAGGAATAAAACCAAACAAATGAGTGTCATCACAGGCAGCTATTGCAGCAGTTCTGAGTAGCAATGCAATACCCAAATGGATTATTTTCCTCTAGATTAACATTCATTACCATAGAAATACGCAAAAAAATAAGATAACTTGGCTGCGGAGAACATTCAGAAGTTCAAACAAAAGAGAAATCACTTATAAGTTTTGACTTTAATGAGCAATGTAGAGGAATGAAGACAGTGGAAAACCACTCACAGGGGTGCTACACGCAGAAAATTATGCCATATAAACTTATAAGTCTGACACATTAGCTCTTGCCCCAGAATGAAATGTTCTTTGTTTCTATGGGCTGCAGTTTAGCAATGCACCCAAAACTTTTGCTTTTTTTCAGTAAAATTGCAGCCAGTCTCAATGACCCCTTAAGGGTCATTGTGGCCCATTCCTTGCCCATCACTGCTGCCTAAAACCAAACCACACCCTAAAACCATCCAGGTGCTTCTTGGACTTTGCCAGGCTCATCTGTGTTCTTTTTCTGTCTGTAAAGCACTGGGAATGAGTGTTAGCTCAGGCACCTGAAGATCACAAGTCACAACCACCCTGATTTTGGCTGAGTTCAAAGCTCTGCAGTGCCCAGTGCGTCGTTTCCAAAGACAACAAACACTCTGAACACGCCAGAAAGGACTGGAGGGAACACAGACCGTGAAAGAGTTGTTCAGTGTCTTTGGAAGCATTTAATCTCTCCGAGATCTGCAGCTGGGCAGCTGAGGAGCTGACCACTTCCCATCTGAGCACCCTCCAGCTCATCGTCACCGTGATTTCAAGTGGTCACCCTGTCCCACCCTCCCTGAAAGCTGCCAAAATGGCTTTTAGAGCTGACAGTAGATGGGAAAAGGGAACAGTGTGTCCCAGTCCCTGTCTCACAGGCACAGAAAGCGGATTTAGCACTGCTGTTTGCACCTACCATCTCCTTGTGGTTGGGGTAGAACGTCTGCTCGATTAGAGGGAACTTCTCTGGGCCCAAAGTTTTGTAGACAGACACCAGCTGGGCAAACTGCAAAACAAAGCAGAACAAGACAGAAAGCTCAGGAGAGAAACCACACTGTGCCTAATGGAGCTCACGCTGACATTTTGCTTCTTTTCTTGGGTGTTTGATAAACTCAGTAGATCCAGGGGCACAGCCCACGCAGGCTCTCTCCTCCTCACACACCTCTTTAATCCACCCAAGCTGTGACTTCACACACAGATCAACACAGAAAAACACTTTGAAAAGTAAAGCCCCCACAGGTACAGAAAATGAAATACATGGGAATACTGGATTTTGGGTATCTCATTATCTGTATGTTTGAAGACGATTCTGTGATGATAAAATCATAATGTTGCCTTTTCTGTCACCTTAAACCTAAAGCCCAGGCATATTTACCATTCATTTAGAGGCTGGCACCTCCCTGGCATTGATTTTAGCATTGGCAAAGAGATAAAAGCAGCTGTGCCATGATACCAGGTCGGGTGAGGAGCAAACTAAAGCAGTTCCATCTCCCAGGCTGCAGCCATGCCCCATTCCCACACGGCCATCCTTGGGTGGGGATGGCTGAAACCGCTCCATGCCATTCCTGTTCGTGTTTTTTATGGAATATTCTGATGTGGCCATCCTTGCACCACCACCAAAGGTGGGGATGATTGAAACTGCTCCATGTTAAGCCATTCCTATTAATGTTTTTTATGGGATATAAATAGAAATATAGAATATAATATTCTTTCAACGCTCCTGTGGCGCATCCGGCCTACCTGCACTCTGGCCTGCAGCAGCTCCTCACAGAACATTTACGTGTAAAACAAGGGGAATCTTTATTAAATAGAGATGGATTTGGGACTGCTCTTTCTCTTTTACAGATAAACCCTGCTGTGGTAAGAGTCAGCAAAGCAAAGCAGCCCTGTGCCGGGGCTGAGGTTTCCAGGGAGCAGGAGGGCTCTGGCAGCCGAAGGCCGGAGCTGTTCCAGCGCTCCGAAGCTCCGGCCGTGCCTGTGATGTGTTCAGCTGTCACCGTGCCAGCGTGGGACATAAACAACTCAGCACAACACTTTGAATAGTGGGATTTGCTGGTTGCAAACAGCACAAAAAGCAGGGAACAATGGAACTCTGTCCATAATGCAGATAAAATACCTACTCTGAGGAGAGGCTCAGGGGGCAGGGAGAGCAAAAACTGTTTAAAGGGGGGAAAAAAAAAAACCATGAAAGCTTTGCTTGCATTTCCAGCTGGCAGAGAGGGCTTGTTTAATTTAGTGGTGTTTACTTAGGTTTGGTAAAATACATCTTTAAATTCGGAAGGCCAGTGGAAAATACCTTAATGATGAGCAGTCTTCACCAAAAGCCTAAGAAATTGTAGTTGGGTTGTGTGCCGTGCAAATCAGGCCTCAAGGAAAGGAAATATTATCACAGCTACCAAAATAAGGTGGTTTGTGAATAGGATTCCTGACAACTTACTCAATATTTCAGTTCTGATCCAAGAAGAAAATACTTACTATTAAATACGTGATTTTTTTTGTCAAGCAATTGTTAGGTTAAAATAAATCTATTTACTTATCTTTAAGTAAAAACCTCCAAAGAAAAGATAAAATCATATGATGCTGTTTCCTGTGATTGTTTCCTTACTTTCTTTTCCATTTTCACTGGAAGGGAGCAAAAGACACTGAGAAAATGGCATTCTTTTTGTAGGGGTTGTGGCATTCATGCAAGAGGTAAGAAAGCTGTAATTGAGATTAATTGCTAGCAAATGTTTGTTTACTTAAAAAAACAGTATCAACCACAGATAGCAGACATATATCACTTCAAAGTGTCCTCTAATTCAGTAATTCAGCTAGGAAATAGCAGGTAGGAAAAGCAGGTTTCAGTTTTTGAGGTAAAGGAGAGAAATCTCTCAAATTGCCACAGCTGGGAGAAGGATTTATCTTTTACCCTGTTGAGATGCTGCTTCACTTCTGTGTATACAAATCTGGGGATCTTTTGTCAATCATTTCTCCCCCAAAATGCAACCTGAAAAATTCAGCCCAAATTCACATAAAATTTCAGCATTTTAATTGTACATCCATAAACTGTCATAAATATTTGGGTATAATAGCTGCTGGGCTATTTCTAAAGAAGAATTTAATTTAAGTTTTAATGACCTTCTATATTTTTTTCAGTGGGATCTGGACTATATATTTTTATATTTTCCTTTTCATCAGCTGAACACCAGTCCTGGGCAGGAGCATCATCTTTTTAGATGATAAATAACTGAATTTTCTGATCTAACGCCAAATGTTTACAGACATGAGATGTTTATGAAATAGGAAATACTAACAGAGTCATTGAAGTATTTTATATGGCTATCAAAACCCAAAATCATCTCAAAATCTCCCAACTCCTAGAGCTTAGTATTTCAGCAGAAGTCATTTTCACATCCTAAGAAAAAACCAAGAAAGTGGAAAAAAGTTCTCAGTTTAGCAAGCTGAATTTAGTCCTCATTTTCCAATTCTGCACCTTATTTTCAGTCAAAAAGGGATAGCCTCAGGTGCATGTGTTTACAGTTTGCAGATTATTATTTTAAAAGGAAAATGATTGGGTTTTGTAGCATTTGTTGTAATGTCAGCTCTTTTCTAGTCAGGATAAAATCCTTCCACACCCAGGCCAGGGTTGTTCCTTTATGACAGAACAGGACAGTGACAGCTGTGCTCTCCAACAAGGTGTGACACACAGAAGAAATATTTAGTCAAAAAAACCCCAAAACCCACTTATTCCATTTGTTTTCGCGTCAAATCTTTCTGGGCTTTTACCACCCCAAGACTGGAGCTCTAAATTTCACTGCACAGATCGTGCTGTAACCAAGCAGAGTTACCAAAAATCCCTTTGCTTTCTTCATCAAGAGTCGGATAATTACTTTGCTTATCACTCTTGAGGAGCTAAAATGTGTTTAATTACTTGTATGCCATCTCTGAGAGGCTCGGATTTGCTCCTGAGCAAACCACACCAACTTCTCCCTCGAAGATAATCAGATATGATATTTAAAACTAATTACTGCAGATGGTGCTACCTTTAATTCTGGAAAGCTGCTAATCCCTCTTGCCAGGCTGAAGGATTTGTAGCACTGCCCACTCCAGTGGGAAATTTCCTGGGATGTTGAGAAGGAGTTTAACTCAAGGAATTGCATCTCCTTTGCCTGTTCCCTGCTCAGCTAGGACCCCTGGGCTGTGGGTTTTACTGAACCCTTTCTGTCAGAGATTTCCCTTTTTTGAGGGGAACCTGTCCTCTTCACAAGTTGAGAGCTCCAAGTGGCCATCTGGTGCTCCATGGGAGCTAAAACAATATCCAAATTCTCTGGGTAGTCTGTTACACCCACCCAGGGGAGCTGGCACACTCTCTAGGAGCAGAGAAATAGGAAAACTTGGATGGGTGAACACTTCCTCAATCTGTCTGTCATAAAAAACACCCCAAAATCCAACACTTTCAGCTGGGATTTAACTCATCTCTGGCTGCTCTAAGGTGTGGGCT